GTATGTTCTACTGTCCTTAAATCCTCAGTAAAAAAAATTAACACATGTATGAAGTAAATCTCACATACTTAATGAAAACGAGAATGTAAAAAAAAAAAAATTTTTTCATAATTATTACAAGTACAAAAGATTAGAACATGGAAAAATAATGGATTAATTAATATAGTTATGTTAAAAGTTTAGTAATAATTAAAATTGACTGATGTAAAAAAATGCTACGATTATTACAAACATTAAAGAATTAAAAATAAAAAATAACCTTGTGCGTTGGTAGGAATATTTATTTCCAATACTTTTAATTATCAAATTTCTCGATACGAAGGCACTTCAGCTGTTTTTCATAGTAATAATAATAATAATAATGGTAAAATAAACATGATTCAAGTAGCGTGTATTTACATACCTCGAAAAAGACGAAGGAAACAAACAACAAATAGCCTAAATACAAACAAAAAAGTCCAGCAAAAGAAGCGAGTGAGCTCAAACTGCGCTCAATAGCTTTAACTCGCGGATTGTTTAATTCTCGGGCCAGCATTGTCGGGGCTCCCAACAATGAGAGCGCGACTTCACAACGTAATTCATTGTTTCTCCTCTGTATAACGTGTAACTATGTGCACACCCACCGGGCCAGCCGACTCCGCTAACGAGCACCCCGGGAAAGCCCGTCTCGCGTAAATGTACAGCCAGGGGAACGAGAAGGGCGTGCGTATGTGTATACGCTGGGCCGGAAATTTACAACGTTACGGACGCAGCGACGCGTGTGATCTTCCAAGCGTGTCATCGGCACGGAAAAAGTGGATTAAAAGCGAGAAAAAGAGTTGAAGGAACGAAAAGAAAAAAAAAAAAGGTGGCGCGAGCAAATACAATTACGACTTGTCTGCGTTTGTTGCGTGTACATTGTCGTCGAAAGGGATGAGCCCAGACGAAGACAATTATACAGGTATATAATTATATACACGACGAGAGCGCACCGCCGGAGACAATGGCTACGCCGTGCATCCTCGAATCCGTCGGGAATACACAATGCAGACGATGCGGTGCCGTATAGGTGTGCACCACACTGCTGGTGAAATTAAATTTATGAGAAACCCCTTGGGAATCGCTTGATGTGTCATGTGAGCCGAAACTCTAGTGGATTCGTGTAAAATCCACCTAGACGCGCACCTCTGATTTGAATTCCTCTCCACCTCGATCTTTGCAGTTTATTTAAACTTGCACCTGTACCTAAAATTAATATTTTTGCTCATCTCGGGGTCAAATTGTTTGAAATCAACCGCAACATTTCCATAAATTTCCTTTGAATATCATCGTCGTTCCAGTTCGTAATTTACAGCATCTTACGCATCAGAAAAAACAGCATACCTATACACAGCACCCCAGCAGGGAAAGAGAGAATCACCTGCGTCGCATACCTGCACCCATACCCACCCCCCATAATGCATTATTCACGCGACGCACTGGTACAACACATAGCACTTCCTCACACGTGTGGAGCACAATAGGAGTTTGCGTTCCTCTCCCCACTACTCCTCCGCAGCAACAACTCCCCCACTATAGTTGTACTTCCATCCTCCTCCTACTCCTTGACTTCCGCGGACCCACATGCATGAGAGAGAGCGAGCGCGCGCACCACGATCGATCCCCACCACCAGTACTCGAAACACCCGCCTCTTCTTAATCCTCCCCCTCTTCCTCCCACGATCGGCGAATATATATACATAAGGCATACCCCCACTTTTGTCCTCGAAAGAGGAAAGAGCGGGAGCCAAATGAGAAGAGAGGGAGAGAGACGGGAGGATAGACAGCTCGACTCGCGATTCGCTCCCCCCCCCTTTTATCGCTCCTTTCGCCCAATGGCTCCTCTTTTTTCTTTTTTTTTTTTTTTTTTTTTTTCTTCCAAA